AAAAGGACCAAACTTCAGCCAGGAGAACAACTGAGATAATCCATCCACAATACGAGGTTAGTCATTCATATACTGCTGCATGGGCTGGGCTGTAGCTACATCCTGTGGTTTTAAAAACTGAGCTTAAATAAATGATTAGCGGTAATAAAAGCCGAGGGAGGTCAACAGTGATCACTGACTGTTTTAGGAGCTTTTTGCGATTAAGTAGAAGAAAATACAAAACATTAAACATGTTAACAACACAAAAGCCATATTAAACGCAGACTAGGATTTGTCACGTCATTGCTTAACAACCGGATAGGATCATAGCCAGAACAATATGAAAAAAACACCATTATACTATGTGCTGGTATAAGAATGCAATGGCTTCTGAAATCCTTCCAAACAGTTACAGCTCAATATCTCACTGGTAGAAATGTTTCATCAACATATCTTTATTACGCAGCTCATTCATCCATTCTCTGCCAGACTGCAGAAAGTATTTATAGTGGTTGTTCATGCTGAGCACACTCCCTGGAGTACTACACGTGACCTAGCCCTTTGAAATGTGACAGCCAGCAATTTGCCATCTACAATTCTGGATCCTGTCATTAGTAAATACCCCCCCCCCCAGACTCAGTCTTCATGTGAGTGTTCTGCATTACTGTCTGCCAAATGGTGGTTGGAAAAAAAACATTTGGGAAAATTTAACAGTGTGACTCTCTAACTTTGCAACATTGGGCACCAAAGGTAAAAGTGGCAGATCAGAGGCCCTGATCAAAGTCTCGTCATTCTGGCTAACATTAATTCCTCTTTGAATTAATCTGAATGACCCTTTGAATGACTCATGAAGAACAAATGCTTTGTTCTTCATGAGTTTTCTTTTCATTCACAGAGCACATCAGTTCACAACATCAAGTTTATCACCAGAAAATGTTGAGGTAAGGAGTGAAGTTTGGTCTAGATGCTTTGAAAAGATTCAGTACCATAAACCATGTGCATATAACCTGTGCCCCAGACTACATCTTTGTTTGTCTTTTTCTCATGAAGCCATGAAGAGGCAAAATTAAAAGAGGAACTAGTCACCCATCAAGCAGAAGTCTTTATCTTATCTTCATCTCCAAATGACACCAAGCCACAGCTCACCCAGCTCATGCTGGGTCATGCAGC